GCAAATCTTCTTTATCCAGTCACCAGCTGATGGGAAGTTTTAGCCACTATAAACATGGTTGCACATATATCACTGTGGTATGATGCTTTTAAATCTTTCAGGAAGATACCCAGTAGGGGGATTTCTGGGTCAAATGGGACCTCTAATCCTAGTTCTTTGCGGAATCTCCACACTGATTTCCACAGTGCTTGCAGCAGCCTATACTCCCACCAACAGTGGAGCAGAGTTCCTTTACCCCCCACAGCCTTGCCGGCATTTGTTATTGGTTGATTTTTTTATACCAGCCATTCTTTCTGGAGTGAGGTGGAATCTCAGTGTTGTTTTTATTTGCATCTCTCGAATGACCATGATGTTTAAGGGAAGGGAAAGTAGGGAGAAAGGGGTAGGGGAAAGGAAATGAGGAGAAAAAATATGAGAAAGGAAGGAAAAAATGGAAACAGTTGTTTTTGTTTTTGTTTTTGTAAATAGGGAGGGGGGTGGACAGGATGGACATGAGGGAAGAGGAATGGAGAAAAAAGAAAAACCAAGATAGATCATATAAAGGTGCAGATTCACAGTGATGACTGTGATCATAATGTATACCTAAAATGGAGCAATAAACTTAATTTTTAAAAGTAGTTCACATTTATCCGTAGCATCCTGATACATGACCCATGTTACTGTATATCTATACATTCTTCTCCCAGCAATTATTCTATGAAGCACCGAGGTGGAATTATTTTCTGTATCTTACAACCGAAAATAGCAAGAATTAGAGAAATTAAGCAGTTGTCTCAAGCTTAAAAAATGAAATTGGTTTTATACTCAAAAAAAGATGAAAATAAAAGCCGAGGCCTTGAGTTTCTAATCAAGTGCGTTCTTCAACTGTGCTGGGTTTCCGCTTTCTGGCCTTCTTATCCCACCCAGCTCACCCTTGCTGCTTTGTATACTCCTGGCATTTAAAATACAAGCCTACTGAAGAATATTTGAATATAAACAGTAAGACTATATAAGGAAGTTTCCAATAATATATAAGGAAGTTTTCTAAGTTTCTAAATTTTCAGATCCATGAACTTTAAATTTCCAGTGGGGTTTGCATGTGTGTCCTGCAGAGAGGTGAGCATACACTCAGAGGTTCATAGTCCAGCACCACCCGAACTGCCTACAAAAGAGGGCCGCATGGGGTCAGCAGGAGTGGGACATGGAGTTGAAAATTACTGCAACAAATTCAGTGTGCACTCCAGTACTTCTGCTAGAATCGACTAGTTCATGAAAGTCTCCAGCAGGCTATTTGGATTTTTGTATAATTAATTTTATTAGTGTATTTTAGATCTACATAATGATCCCATTCATCATAGACAATGTCTAACTGTACATAATACATCTAAATTCATCTTTTTCCCCAAAACCCTTCCCCCTTCAACCCCTTTGCCCCTTTTTATACAAAGGCTCTGTTTCCATGTTTTGCATTCTATTCTCATTTTTTGTCCTTTTCCCTAACTTGCCCCCTCCTTCTCTCCCTTATCCCTCTTCCCATTTGAACATCTTTTCCTGTCTCCCAATATCTATTGTACATTTTGATCTTTATTTACCCTTTGGTTCTTCACAGCAGAGAAACTGTGTGGTATTTCAACCTGTGTTTGTTTTATATCAGTTAAGAGTGTTATCTCAGAGCGTGTTGTTGTCTTTTATTTATTTATCACAGATAGGATTGAAGGAGAAGAAAGGATTCCCTTAATGGGACATTGAGGAATTTGCCTCAGACACAACTAAGCAGATTGCAAATGTCAGGTGTTGTTCTTGTCCCATTCAAAGTCTTTTCAGTATCATTTGTTTCTAATAACTACACTTCAAAATTCATATACTTCAAAATTTTCTTTATAATTTTTGGGGGTATTTTTGTTTTGTTTTGTATTTTGGTACCGGGGATCAGACTCAGGTCCTTGTGCTTGCGAGGCAGGCAGCAGAACCACTGAGCTAAATCTCTGGCCCATTCTTTATCATTTTTGAATTGTTTCTTTAATTCTGTGAGATATGCTGTTGGAATTTTGACTGGGATTGCATTAAGTCTGTATATCAATTTTGGAAGTATGACCATTTTAAGTATGTTGGTTCTTCCTACCCAAGTACAAGGGATATAGATTTCCATTTTCTGTTACCCTTTTTGATCTCATTTTTCAGAGTGCTGTAGTTTTCAGTAAAAGAGCCCTTTTACTTCCTTCCTTAGATTGATTCCTAGGTATTTCATTTTTTTAATGCTATTGTGAAAGGGGTTTTTTCTCTCATTTCTCTCTCAGAGAGTTTGTTATTTGTATACAGGAAGGCTATTGGTTTCTGAGCATTGACTGTATCCAGCTACACCATTGAATTTGGTTATCAAATCTAGGAGGCTTTTAGTGGAGTTTGGGGGATCTTCTACATAGAGTATCACATCATCCCCACATAATGATAATTTAACTTCTTCCTTTCCTATCCTTCCTCCTTTTATTTATTTCTCTTGTCTAATTGCTCTGGCTAGTGTTTCCAGACCTATATTGAACAAGAGTGGTAATAGTGGACATCTTTGTCTTGTTCATGATTTTAGAGGGAAAGCTTTCCTTTTTTGTCCATTTAGTATGAGGTTGACTGATGGTTTGTCATAGATGGTCTTTATCTTAACCTAATAAAAGCTATCTCTATGAAATTTTCTGTAGGGTTTTTATCCTAAATGGGTATTGGATCTTGTCAAATGCTTTTTCTGCGCCTGTTGAGATGATTATATGGTTTTTGCCCTTGGTTCTGTTAATACAGTGTATCACTTATTGGTGTTGAACCATCAACACTGTTTGATTTTGTGTTGATGGTTGAGCCATCCCTGCTTCCCTGGGATTAATCCAAATTGGTAATGGTGTGCAACCTTCTTGAGGATGTGCTGCATTGTTTGCTAGTATGTTAGTGAGGGTTTTTGCAATTTATATTCATTAGGAAGATTGATCTGTAGTTTTCTTTTTTGGTTGGATACTTCTCTGGTTTTGAAAGCAGGGTAATGCTTGCTTCTAGGAATGAATTAGGGAGTATTTCTTTCCTTTCAATTTCATGAAAGAGTTTGAGGAGTAGTAGCAGAAGAAGAGTTTCTCTTAATTTCTTGTAAAATTGAGCAGTGAATCCCTCAGAGGTTGCTGGGCTTTTCTTTTTTGGTAGGTTTTTTATTACATCTTCAATTTCATTTGCTGATGTTGGTTTAGTTAGAATGTTTACATGTCCTTAATTCAATTTGCTATCATATGTATCTATTTCTTTTGAAATCATTCTAAAATTTTAAAAAGTTCTCCATGTAGATAGGAAAATCTAAACATTTTTTAGAGTGATGAGGGGAGAAGAAACTAGAAGGCATTCTGATTGGTATTCCTTTCCTTCTTTCTCTGAATTTGATTTCTACTAAGGCCTGTGATTTTTCTCTTCTAAACATATCATGACTGCAGATCGACTCCATTTCTCACAGGGGCATATCCTATGTGTTTCCATGGGTCCCTATTTCCACCCTTGCTTTGCTCAAATAGATTGACATAACCATTATTCCCTGTCAAAAAGATCCGAAAGTTTGATAGGACACTTGTTCCAATGATGTGGCTATGCAAAGTAAGTCACTGTCATGTATTGTTATTAGAAGTGAATGAAAATCTTAATCCTGTAGGGCAACTACTGGCTGTACCTATCAAAATTTCTTATAGCACATTTTAATCCCAAAAGTCGTTCATAAGAATCTGTCCTAAAGAGATTTTAGCCAAAAGCAATATGCAAATATTCATGTAGCACCCTGGGAATGGAACAACCTTACCATCACAAGATGGAAAGCCACCTGCATGGTCATCAACAAGGAACTTGATAAATAACTGTGATTCACTTGCAGTTTGCAGTACTGTAAGAGAAATCGGGCATAGTTCTTCAGACTATCTCTGGGATATATTAGGTATAAAATATGTTAGGAAAAAAATGTAAAGTATACTACCCTTTATTCAAAGAAAATCAGAAATAGGGTTGTATCATTTCTGATATATTTTGAATAGAAAACACATCATCAAACAAATAAAAATCATTACCTGAAGGGGAAGAGGGCAAACAGAGTGAGGTATTTTTTTAATGTTTGAATTTGGATACATATAATTACCCTTCTTTGAAGCAAAAGTAAATAAAAAGCAGTGTTAAAATCTAAAGCAAGATGAAACAAGTGAACCTGTGTATCAAATTGGACATGTAACTAATGAGTTAAAGTGACATAAAAACAAAAGTGATGTGACTGCAATGGGGTGTATCCTTTGGAGAAAATGAGTGGTAATAACACAGAAAGTGGTTTTAAGCAGTCATTTTTGATGGTTATATGGGCATTTTTTACTCTGATAATATTAGGTGTGCAATATCAAATACAGCAGAAAGCAATTATGTTAATGCTATGATTCCAGAATTGTCGTCATGGGAGAAAGAAAATACAAATGAAAGATGGATGAAGGAAAAAGCCTGTGATCTTACATTCCAATTAAAATGGACTCAAGATATACTGCTTCTTTAAAAGAAAGCTCTGTCCGTATAAGACACAGAAATGATGACTCACCGGTACCACAGCTACCTAAGTAACAATATAGATGAGTTAATAAAGTGACATAAAAACAAAAGTGATGTGACTGCAATGGGGTGTATCCTTTGGAGAAAATGAGTGGTAATAACACAGAAAGTGGTTTTAAGCAGTCATTTTTGATGGTTATATGGGCATTTTTTACTCTGATAATATTAGGTGTGCAATATCAAATACAGCAGAAAGCAATTATGTTAATGCTATGATTCCAGAATTGTCGTCATGGGAGAAAGAAAATACAAATGAAAGATGGATGAAGGAAAAAGCCTGTGATCTTACATTCCAATTAAAATGGACTCAAGATATACTGCTTCTTTAAAAGAAAGCTCTGTCCGTATAAGACACAGAAATGATGACTCACCGGTACCACAGCTACCTAAGTAACAATATCCAAATATTATTTCTTATACAGGATTTCGTCTGTTAAAGCAATGACCAACTCCATATCAGACAAAGTAAACGTGCATGCCGAGCCAGAAGCACCTCAGCATACCTGAAAGCAAGGAGAGTATGACAGACTACTAGTCGAGGAGTCTCCCGTGGCCCAAAGGTAGAAGTTTTTTTATTTTTTTCTTCTGTTCATGTTTGCCGTACACGGTGTTTACGTTCACCTTGGGGATTGGGTATACGTACGTAATACAGCTTCCTCTTCGAGTCCTTGTCCTACCCCACTCCTTTCCTTTACCTCTAATCCTCCTTTCTTCATTTTTATTCTTATTATCCTTAGTTTATGTTTGACAGACAGTATAATGTTTGCATCCATTGCAGTTACTAAGTTTCTGTACGTGGCATATCTTCATCCTACTTACTCCCCCTCCCCTTCTACCCTTACCCTTGGTCTTTAGGGCCCCTGCCCATTTGCATAAAGTCTGTCTCCTTCACTCTTCCTCCACGTGTACCTTGCGTTTCTCAGATGAGAGGTGCCATCTGATGTTTATTCTCGTGTGATTTACTTCACTCAGCAGACCTTCAAGATGCATCCATTTTCCTACAAATGCCTGAGATTTGTCCCTCTTTATCCCAAGTAGCATTCTGTTATGTCCAGATACCACCTTTTATTCACCCATTCACCTGTTGATAGGTCTGCTTGCTGCTTCCAGGATTTATCTATTATGAATTTTGCTCCTATAAAAAGACATGCATGTATCAGTGTAATATGATGGCTTTAGCACTTTGGGGAAGTTACCTAGACGAATTTCTCAGATGAGAGGTGCCATCTGATGTTTATTCTCGTGTGATTTACTTCACTCAACAGACCTTCCAGATGCATCCATTTTCCTACAAATGCCTGAGATTTGTCCCTCTTTATCCCAAGCAGCATTCTGTTATGTCCAGATACCACCTTTTATTCACCCATTCATGTGTTGATAGGTCTGCTTGCTGCTTCCAGGATTTATCTATTCTGAATTTTGCTCATAAAAAAGACATGCATGTATCAGTGTAATATGATGGCTTTAGCACTTTGGGGAAGTTACCTAGACGTGAATAGCTCGGTCATAGGGAATCTCTAAGTTTAGTTCTTTGTGAAATCTCCACACAGATGTTCATGATGGTCCTCCAAGCATACATTCCCATGAACAACGGAGAGTTTTCTTTTGACCTAAACCAAGCCAGCATTTGTTAGTCCTTGACTTCTTGATGACTGCCGTCCTTTCTGACGTAAGACGGAAGCTTAGTGTTGCTTTAATTTGCATTCCTGTAATGGCCAGAGATATCAAATCGTTTTTCATATATTTTAACGGAGAGTTGACCTAAACCAAGCCAGCATTTGTTAGTCCTTGACTTCTTGATGACTGCCGTCCTTTCTGACGTAAGACGGAAGCTTAGTGTTGCTTTAATTTGCATTCCTGTAATGGCCAGAGATATCAGATATCAAAATCCTTTCTGACGTAAGACGGAAGCTTAGTGTTGCTTTAATTTGCATTCCTGTAATGGCCAGAGATATCAAATCGTTTTTCATATATTTTTGGGACACTTATCCTTAGTTTTTGGAGAAGTGTTTGTTTACTTCACTTTGTTGGGTGGTGGGTACCAGGGAATCGAACTTGGGACCTTGGGCTTTTGAGGCAGGCGGCGGCACACTGAGCTAAATCCCCAGCCCCCACATGCCTGTTTCTTAAATGGGTCATTTATTTCAGGTGGTCTAAGGGGTTTGTTTTTAGTTTCTTACATATATTCTAGATAATAGTTCTCTGAGGAATACCTGGCAAATATTTTTATCATTCTGTAGGTTGTCTCTTCTACTCATTTATTCCTTTACTGTGCAGCAACTTTTTAATTTGATATAATCCCAGTTTTTATTCTTGCTGTTATTTCCTGTGCAGTTGGCATTGTTTAAAAAAATTCCTTCCTACACCCACGTTTGCAAGTGTTTTACCTATTTTGTCCTCCAGCACGTTCAGTGTTTCCATTTTACTGCTTAAATCTTTGATACAATTTTACTTTAATTTGGTATTTGGAGGGAGATCATGGGTCCTGCTTGAATCTTCTGCAGATAGCCAGTTTCCCAGCACCACTTTCTGAATAGGCTGTCTTTCCTCCACCTTACGCATGTTATCAAGGATCAGATAGCTAACTGTGTATAGCACCCACCTTCCATATCTTCCATTGGGCTGCACCGATTCAGAGGCCTGTTTTTGTGATAGCATCATTCCATTCATGCCTCCTCGCGCTTTGTCCGTCTTCTCCAAGGATGCTTTTGTTGTTCTGGTCTCTTCTGCTTACATGTAAGTCTTAGTCGTGTTGTATGCTGCTGGTATTCTCATTGGGGTTGTCTTGAGGAACAGTTTGGGGAGTATGGCCATTTTGAAAATACGATTCTGCCCATTGAGCAAGGATGTGTTCAATTCTCTTAGGTCCTCTTCAGTCCCCTTTCTCAGAGCTGTTCAGAGTATTCAGCACTTTCTTTGCAGAGATGGATCCATTCCTTGGCTAGTTTAATCCCTACGCATTTAAATTTCCTTGAGGGGGCCGGGGATTTAGCTCAGCGGTTCAGTGGCCTGCCTTGCAAGTGCAAGGACCCGAGTTCAATCGCCGGGACCAAATACATAAATAAATAAAAATAAAAATAAATAAATTTCCTTGAGACTACCATGAATGGTATTTTTATAATTTCTTTCTCACTGAGTTCGTTACTGGTGTACACAAATATTAATGATATTTGTGTGTTGAGTTTGTATCCTTGACATTGCTGAAATCGGTTATTAAGAGTTTGGCTTGTAGTTCTTCGGGTCTTCCACATAGAGTGTAATGTCACCTACAAATAAACATTTGAGCTGCGCTTTCATTTCTGTCTCGTGCCTGATTGCTGTGGCTATGTGGAATACTATGTTGACTAGAAATGGTGACAGTGGGCAACTTTAGACCAAATACATAAATAAATAAAAATAAAAATAAATAAATTTCCTTGAGGCTACCATGAATGGTATTTTTATAATTTCTTTCTCACTGAGTTCGTTACTGGTGTACACAAATATTAATGATATTTGTGTGTTGAGTTTGTATCCTTGACATTGCTGAAATCGGTTATTAAGAGTTTGGCTTGTAGTTCTTCGGGTCTTCCACATAGAGTGTAATGTCACCTACAAATAAACATTTGAGCTGCGCTTTCATTTCTGTCTCGTGCCTGATTGCTGTGGCTATGTGGAATACTATGTTGACTAGAAATGGTGACAGTGGGCAACTTTGTCTTGTTGCTTATTTCAGACAGAATGCTTTCAGTTTTTTCCCGGTGAATATGATGTTAGCCATTGGTTTTTCGTAAATAACCTTTATCACATTCAAGTATTGTACTTCTGTACATAGTTTCTTTAGGGCTCTTGTCGTGAAGGAGTGTTACACTGTGTCAAAATAGTTTTGTGCATCTATTGATACGTTCCTATGGTTTTGTATTTGCTTTTGTTTATGTGAACTATTACATTATTGATTTGTATGTGTGGAACCATCATTGCAACTTGAGCATAAAACATATTTAGTCGGGATATATGATCATTTCGTGGTGTGTTGCATTCTATTTGCTGATATCTTGCTGAAGTTTTGCATCTATTTCCACTAAGGAAATTGGTCTGTAGTTTTCTTTTTCACTTGGGTCTTTGTTTGGTTTGGGGATCAGAGTGATACTGGCTTCCATAAATGAGTTTGGAAGCACTCCATCTCTTTCAGTTTCTTGAGGAATTTGAGCGGGTATTGGGAGTACTGGAGATAAAACATCCTTAAAGATCATGTAAAATGCAGCAGTGAATCAAGTCCTGGGCTTATTATAGTTGGTAGGTTTTTTATTATTGTCTCTTTTGTTGCTTGATACTGGGTTTTTCAGAATTTTCCTGTCTTCTTGGATTAGCTTTAGTAATTTATATAAGTCTAGGAATCTGTATTTCATTGAGATTTTACAATTTGGTGAAATATAATTTTTATGGTAGTTACTATCTCGTAGATTTGATGGTGCCTGTTATGATTTCACCATTTTGAGTTCTAATTATATTGATCTCTTTTCTCTCTGATTGTAAGGTCTGCTAAGGGTTTCTCTGTTTATTCTTTTAAAGAACTAGTTCTTTGATTTGTTAATTCTTTGTATTTTTTTAGTATCCACTTTATTGATTTGCAGCCTAATGTTAATGGCTTGCCTCCTTAATTTTGCCTTGGCCTGTATTGTTGTTTTCTCTTCAGTATGTTAAGGTTCTTCATTAGGTAATTCCTTTGAGCTTGCTCTGTTTTCCTAATGTTAGCCTTGATGGTAATGAACTTCTTAGGACTTTCATTGTGTCCCAGGGGTTCTGCTTTGTTGTATAGACACTGGCATTAACGTCCAGAAATTGTTTAATTTCTTCATTGATTTCTTCTGTGACCCATTGGTTGTTCAGGAGTTGTTATTAATCTTCCAGGTGCTTCTAAATTTCTTCTGTGGTTGATTTCCATTTTCACTGTAGAATGGTCTGATGGTCCACATGGGTTTATTTTTATTCTGATATATTTAATCAGGCTTTGTGGACTCCTGTGTTATCTGTTTTGGAGAAAGTAGTTTGTGCTGCAGAAAACAATGTATAATACTGCTGTAATAAGGTAGGTTACTCTGTTGGTATCTATTATGCCCATCGTTTCAGGAGTGTGGTTTAGCTCCGATATTTCTTAATTTTTTGTTTAGTTAATCCTTTTAGAAAAATGAATTATTACGACACACCTTCTGTGATCATGTTAGTATTAATTTGATGTTTTGTATTCAGCAGTGTTCATTTTATGAACATAGGTACTCCAGTATTTCGTTCATAAATATTTATGTGTTATCTTTTCTTAAAGCTGTTCCCTAAACTAGTATGTAGTGACCTTGTCTTTTCTAATCAGTTTGTTTAATGTTTACATTGTCTGAGATTAAAATTGTTACCCCTGCTTATTTTGGGGATCCTGGTACAGGCAGTATTTATTGTTTTCCATCCTTTAATTTTTAGTCTGTGAAATTCTTTTTTGGATTATATGTGTTTCTTGAGTGCGAGAGACTGGTGGATTCTATTTTTTTCATCCAGTCTGCCAATCTGTGTCTTTTAATTGGAGAGTTGA